AAAATTCCGTAACATGCGTAGCAAAAGGTAGCGGTAGAAGTGACTCGTGTTCAGGGCACCGTATGAGGGTAGCGGTAAAAGCGACTCGTGTTCAGGGCACCGTACAAAAGCAGCGGTAAAAGTGACTCGTGTTCAAGGCACCGTACAAGGGCAGCGGTAGAAGTGACTTTTATATATGCATTTTAATTAACTCATCTTATAGAAAATTTTCCGCAGATTAAAAATTTGAAATATGTTCCTTTTTATCTCTTTTAGTTTACGAGATAATCGCAAATAAAATAAATCGTCAAAAATTGAAAAATTACAATTTTAAGCACTTTCAGTCGCGTTTTTAAACTTTTTACCTCATTAAATTAGGTTATTTTAAATTTCCGTCTGATAGAGAATTTTCAAATATCCCATAATCTACAATTTTCTGAATGTTATCTCTTTTAGTTTGGAAGATATTCACTGTCGAAAATCGTTGATAAAAATTATCAATTATTAATAATATAATAATAGTTATAATAATATTATATTTAGATTCATTTATTTTGAATAAGTATATCCCATCGACTTCTATATTTGAAGTTTTGAGTTATGTGTAAAAATTGGTGTTTGTTTAGATAGGGTGGTGCATGCACACTCTCGTGTACGTGTGATACACGGCACGGCCACTTAAGTGCGTGACCACTCACTGATCATAGGCAATTGTATTTTCTGGAGGTACAATAAAGTATACTCAGACGGCGCAGCGATGCAAATTTTAACTAAAAATATTCTTGCGAGTGGAAGTCCACTTGCACAGTTGTGATGCCGGCACGCAGCTCTTATTTCGTGCGGCAGATAAGAATACTCCTTCGAGTATTCGTGTTTATCGTTGTAAATTTGGTATATCGCGTTATATTTTATTTAATTATATAATATTTTGGACTGCGAACCATTTTTGACTTCTGCACAACTCGTTGGTTCAATGTGATACCTGGTACGAATACTAATTTAAATAATTATAGAGAACAAAACAAAATTTTTGGTAAACTAATGTTTTGTTTCTTCTTTATTGCAGTATCAACTCACATTTGATATGTGGTGTTCGCTACACTGGTAAGTAAAATCATCCATTGTATTCTCTTTTCGCTGAACGTTTTTAATCGAATTACACTCTTTTTTATCATTATATTAAACAGTTTTTTGTTGATGTAATAAAATCTTATACATTGAATAGTTTCTCGCTATCATAGTCTCCATATCTATATATATATATAAAAGAAAGTCGTGTTGGTTAACTCCATTATAACTAAAGAGCGGCTAATCCAATTTAGCTAAAAATTGGTGGAGAGGTAGCTTAGGGCCAGGAGAAGGTAATGGGATACTTTTTGAAATGAAAACTTTTCTAAAAGGGCACTAAACGACACTAAAAAGA